GTCTGCATCTCGTTGGGCTTCCCGCTCTCGATTTACGAAACCTTGTTTGCTACTTCCAGCCGCTGTGTAGCGTTCATCCCTGCGAACCCATCCAGGTTTTGGAGTTTCCGGCGTATATCTGGGTATGATTGGGCTACGAAGGCAGCGCTGACCATCTGCTGGTTCTCTTGGGCCTCAGGGTCAAACAGAGTGTAGACTCGGAATGCTTCACACAATCTCTCATAGAAGTCAGTGGGGGTTCCGTCTGGCCTCTGGGTCACCGTGGTCGTTCTACACATGTTCGTTGGCTTCTTGGCTCCGCTCTCAGCCCTTGTAGGATGGCCTCCCTGTGCTCACGCAGTGCTTCTCTTCCTTCTTGGGTGTTAAAGTCCCAATCTGGTCTGGTGTCAGGGGCATGTGTCATGACCCACCCCTCAGCATCCATTGCGTCCCCAGGGGCTCGGCCCTGTAGCCATTTTCGTGCTTCAGTGAGAATGCATCTCCTCTCCTCAGTATTGAAAAGTGTCAGAAGCAGCTGGCAGACATCTTCCCAGGTGGGCCGGTGAGAATGGAAGCTAGACTCTACGAGGTCAATCATGGCCTGTGGCTTTTCAGGGTAGGAAGGAGTGTGATGGCGCCAGTTGAGAAGGTCTGTGGTGCTAAAGGGTTGGTAGTAGAGTACGGGGTGCCCGGGCTGAACAGTCCCGTCCTCCCCAACTTGCTGCGGCCTGTGTGTCTCCCGCAGTGGCATTTGGAGGGCCGGTGGTGCTGGTTTCCTGGCTTGTGCTGAGCGGAGTCTCCTTCCTGCCGGCTCAGGCTGGGGGCTGGGCTCTGCCTCTGGGTCCTCAGGTGGGGGAGGTGGTGACACAGAGGGTGGTGGTGTCTCCAGTGGGACCGGAGGTGCCTGTGCTCCGGCAGCATACGGAGGGGGTAGGCACATCTCGTCTTCTGCGTCTCCCTGGAAAACGGGCTTTTCTCTGTCTCCTTGTCCTGGACCGGCTGAGCTGCTAACACCTTGCATTGTCCAGGTTCATTTGAGCAGAACCAAATCCATGGGGGTGGAGTCTGCGCGATATTCAGCCAGGAGTCAATGTAAGGGAATTGGTCTGAGTGGCCTGGGGTTCTGGTGACTACCCGATAGACTGCTCGCACTGTTGCTAGGTCCAAAATTCCTCCTGAGGGCCACTCAACTCCAAAGGCCGGCCATTCGAGCTTACACAAGGTGCGGGGCTTGCCAGGGGCCATTTGGACTCCAGAGTCTCCTGTGAACCCCTCTTTGAAAGTCTCAATCATGCAGTCCAGGATGGGGGGCTTCGACTTCGAGCCTCTCATTCTGTCGAGGCATTTTAAGGGTGGCGGGCCTGCTGCTGTGGGTGCTCGGGAAGGCAGCCTTTGCATCTCCTTCTTCCCCTCTCCGCAAAGCACTGGAGCTCCCAGCGGGACCGCTCTCCTGCCGGCTCTCTGAGTCGCCTGAAGGCTAACTTGGTCAGGGAGTCCGGGCTCCAGCCACACCTGGCGTCTCTGAAGCCCAAGGCAAGAGCCAGCTCCAGGGGCTCCCTCACCAAACCCCCACTGCACCCTGAACTCCCGTACCAAGGGGCTGGGACTGACGCTGATGGCCGAACACACGGACCAGAAAGGGGACGTCTAAGGCCGGGTGAGCCCGGTCCTGAAGAAATCTCTGTTCTGAACTCAAGCCCTGAGGGTCTGGGGTTGGGCAAAAGGGACACTCGTTGGGTCAGTTCAGGAGCTGGGACAGCAAGTCTCAGGTGGTCTGTGACAGGGTAAAGTAAGAGACTTTCTCAAAGAAATGGCGTCCTAGCCTCTGGGGGCACGGGGGTGCTGACTCATTGGCCATTTTATGTCCCTTTCCCTCCCGGTGTGGCCACCCTGTGCCGGTGTCACAGACAAGACAAGGGAGGGTTTTCGCTGCATCCGCCTGGCCGCTCCCCTCGCGGGAACTAAGGTGCCTCTGAGCTTTGGCGGGTCAGTATAAGCCGCTGACTCCGATCGGGACCCTGAGGGACCGATACCGCCCTGAGCCGTATGAGGTCACCACGGAACCGCAGGTTGGGACTCACTCGAGCTCCGTAGCAGGACGCCGTGGAGCTACAAACTCGAGCCTGATCGCATGCTTCACAGGCCGCTCATTCACTCCCCCCCCACACACACACACGGAGGTTAACTACAGCCCTCCCACACTTCCCAGTGTCCTGTCTCACTGCAGGAGGGGATCCGCCTCCTCTTCTGTCCACTGGGACGGGACCTGATTTCATCCCCAGGGTCCTACCTTGTCCGGTTGGCTGCCTGGTGAGTCTGTCTGTCCCTCCACCGAGTCTGGCTGAGGTCTAGCCTCACGGGGGGTGAGCTGCCGCCACAGAAGAGAACCTGTAATACCGCTGAGTAGCGCCACCTCATTCGTCGCCGGAGTCTTATCCCCTGATTGGCCAGAACCACCAGTCCAGCGGCTCAAGGGGCCGGCACGGTTGAATCTCACTGGGGCCTCCAGAAATGTTACAGGAACGGAAGGCCAGCCAAAACACAAGCACCACTCGGAGGGCCGGGGGCTCAGAGGGGCGACGGCTCCGGGGCTCTGAGCACCTCTGGGAAGTGTGAGTGAGGGTTTACAGAGTCCCTTACAAGCTCGGGGCCCATCAACCGATCGGGAGCACAGCCAGGCAGTGTCATAAAAGTGAAAGCAAAGCCACTTCCAGTAACCCGAAACTGGTCTAGCAATGTGAAACTGAAAATTCATGAGTTAGCCCAGCCCAAGTCTTGGCCCAGGCCAACCTCTTCCTTCTCAATAACTCAATTCTATATTCTTAAAAGAATTAACTTCAGTTGCTCACAATTGGTTTAAATGTTAAGGTTTGCATAATGCATGATTTCTTTATTAAAAAGGCCACAGCAGAAACACACATTATCCCGTTTCCAAAAAAGCCCCAGGAAAAAAATCCTTCCTGTGGCCTCAGATGATTTAAAATTGATCTCCTATAGCTTGTCCTACTTTCATAGTCTTAACAGCAGACAAAATAGCTCCTTTCAACGTTAAGTCAAGTGGTTCTGAGGGCACAGGGTTGAGTTCTGCTGTTATTTTCAGAGTATACTCACGGGTTTATTCTGTCTCTCCTTGGTAATCCTACTAGAGAGAAGATGAAAGGCACTACAGCATTGATTTCAGATTCGCTTATGTGCCATGAGCCTTGATTTTTCCAGGGATAAAACGTGTATGCTAGGCAGACGTGTCTGTCATGGTGCACGCTTGTGTGTGTATCTGTGGTCAAACGCACCGCACAAGGGAATACACACTTGTGAGGCAGACCAGGCATGTCTGGGGATGGGGAGCTGGTTTTACCATGGCTCCCAGCAGAAGAAAAGGGACTCTGCTTTGCCAGTAAGTTTCCTCTGATTGTCTGCTGTCAATCCCCATGCCAGGACGTGGCTGTGGAAATCAGAAAACAGCGAGAACACAGCCCCGGCCCCGTGGTTCTGATGGTCTGAAAGAGAGGACAGGTGACAGGTGAAGGCGTAAGCACTGTCCATGGTGGACGCAGAACAGGAGGGTGTTGCAGAGAAGCAGGCGGACCCTAGCTCCCAGGCGGGGGCCTCCGCTTTCCCGTGGAAAATGGGAATCTAGAGATTTGGAGGAGGTGGGTTTTGATTTGGGTCTTGAAGGATGTTTTTGTCCAGAAAGGATAAGAAATTCATCCTTGGTTGATGGAAAACAGGGAGGGAAAAACCATTCTTCAATACAGTAATTGATATAGAAGAATCCTTCGCCAGTGGGAAGCAGGGAGAGTTTTCTGAGCTGATGAAACTTGATGGATGGGAAAGGAATGGCCCTGTCCCGCCTCAGGACCAGAGATTACTGACTTTGCTTCAAGGCCCATTTACCACAGATTCAAGAAATAGTTTATAATAATGCAATGACGATGTCTCACTGCAAGACTGTCTCCTGTGTCTATGTCTCTATTTTGTGAAGCTCTTGACTCCTATTTTCCAGTAAATTCTAACCAACCAGATAGGTCTGCAGTGTTAGGGCAGTAAAGGGATTTTATACGGAGAACTCCAACTCAGACACCACAGGAAACGGTCCCAGGGGCCGAGGACAATGAAGAAGGTTTTCCTGGTGCTCCAATAAAAGTGACATCATATTATTAATGCAGGAGCAGAGAAATTAAAACCTGCCCTGTCAACATGTTGAAGTGTCTTTACGGGTTAGAAAGGGCCTCACCTGCATTAACTCCATGTGGCAAGGCCACAGGCTGCATTAGCCCATAAAGGCTTTTTGTAGGTCTCAGCGGCCCTGGGGTCAAAGTGCAATCTTAAGAAAACAGACTTTCATTGATATCACACTTTCTCAGTGTGATCAGAGATTATGCTGGAGAACGCCCTTGTTCGTGGGAGATGCATACTAGAGTATTAAAATTTAAAAGTGAAGCGTCACATTTATGTCTCAACTCCGAAAACAAGGAACAAAGGAGCAAACACAGCAAGATGTTAACAGTTGGCAGACAGAGGTGAGGGCCATGTGGGTGTTGAGTGCACTGCTCCTGCTGAGAAGGAAAAGCTGGGCTGGGCCTAACTCGTAAATCTAAGTGTAACAAGTGTCGGATTACCGATCTGAGTTCTGCTGGCCTAACTCGTAAATCGAAGTTAGTAAGTGTCGGTTTGCTGATTCCTTGCTCATGTTTTTTGCTAGCCAGCTGCATTTTCAGAGACACATCTGGCCTTGGAGTGTCGGTCTGCTGCCTCCCTGCCTCTGCTTTTGTGATAAGGATGCTGCTAAAACTGCCTATTGGCCACATACCCTAAGCTTGTAATTAACCCTATAAAACCTCATGCACACGTTTTGGAGGTGCTCGGAGCTCAGGAGCAGAAGCCCCTCTGAGCCTGCCAACATCATAAACCTGAGTACTCCAACCCTCCGAGTGGTGCTTGTTTCTTGGCTGGCCTGTCGTTTCTGTAACACTGCAGCTTTCCCTGGACGCTTTAACTTCAAAATAAAAGGAATGGGGAGGATAAACAGCTTCTGAAATGTTCTCTCTGAAAACAGGAAGGAAACTGCCCTGCACTGAGCTCACACCCGAGCCTCCACGGTTCATCGGCTTTGCGGTTCTCACGCCTCTCTGCACGGCATTC